ATAGAATCATTATCTTGCATTTGCAATCAACAGGACTATTGCTAGATTAAGCACTTACTGTGTACCAGGCACCATGTTAAACATTTTACATTAGCCAGTTAAATATTCATAAAATCCCATGACATAGGATTTATTGATATCTCCAATCTTCACATGAGGAAACCAAGACCCAGAGTAGTTGAGCAAATTTTACACACCTAGCAAATACTAGAGCCAGAGCCAAATTCCAGAGTCACCCGCTCCGCTTCACATAGATCACATTCTTAGTGCTTACTATTATATGTTCGAATCCTTATAAGAACTTCCCTATTTTACTTGGGAACATATATTTTTAATTTTTTTTTGAATTTTGTCTGTTTTCCCTGAGCTGTAGAATTTTTATTCTTATAACTTGAGAACTTTTAATGAGAAATGTTAGAAGTAACTGATTAGGTACAAGCATAGCAGGAGTGCACAACAATAATATTTACTTCCCTCTGCCTGGCACTGTGCTGGACTTTGAGAAGACAGCAGAAAACAGGTCTCTGGCCTCATAAGCAGCACAGATAGAGAAGCAGTGACAAACACAGGCCAATTGTGTTCTAGGGGAAACTGAGGATTAGAAAGTCAGATGCTTTCATTCTGGTGTCTGCTTGCTGTAAAGCCAGGTGGTGATGGGCACTTGGCAGAATTGTCTGCCCTTTGGGACCTTAGCTTTCTAATCAACCAGGGTAAGCTAGATGATCTCCAAGTCCCACTCCTGCAGTAGCATTTGCTGAGCCTCAGATTCTTCCTGGGTTTCTCAAGAGTAAGCTATGTAGGCAAACACATGCCAGAGTACATTTGTAAAATATAGTGAATATTAGAAAAATGGGAGCCTGTTAAAAACAAAATCCTCCAGACCCATAATCAGAGGACCGGATCCAGAAACTCTGGGATGGGGCCAAAAATCTGCATTTTTAATAAGTCTCACAAGAAATTCTGATGCACCAATTCTGAAACTCTAGTATTCAAAGCAATGGCAGCACAAGAGACCTTATCAGGAATGCAGAGCTGGGGCCCCATCCCAGGTCCACTGAATCAGAATCTGCTTTTTTTCCGTATGGATGCTAAGCTGGTAGAGTATGTGCCCAGGGCTGCTGGGGACATTCGATGGGAATGATGCTCATGTGCACTGAAATGTCCTTAGAAAGGGCCCAGTCTGGTTAATCTCAATACCATGATCAGCACTGATACCGAAGAAACCACACTACCCCTTATCTATTGGTCCTTAGTTTAGCTTTTCTCACGGGAAGCTTTCTGAACAAGGAGAAATGTGTAATTGCTCCTCTGGAAAGCATGGTCTGGAACCGTGTTTTTCAAACTACATTTGGCAGCGCCTTAGGCTTCAGTCTTACAGGGCCACCTGGGGATAGGGGTTGTGTGAGGCAGCCTGGACTGAGCTGGCCTCCAGGCTACAAACTCCACTTCAAACAGAACTGCTCCACTTTGATCAGTTTTAGAAATTGGGATTATGGTTTGATTTCCTTTGAAAAGAGAGTTTTGCTGCTTTAATATTCTTCTCAATCAGCCTGGAGCTCCACAGTTTCCATCAACACCATTGGTACTTTTCCCATACAAGCCAAGAGATGGACTTAGGGCATAAACCTGATTTCCTTTTCCTCTGTGCTTCCCTTGGGGACAGAGATGTGACCTTCAAAATGTCAAAACCCACTCTTATTCCCAGGAGGACTGTTAAGTTACTCTCCCTATTCTATTTTAATGTTCAATGACCAAGGCAGACACTAATGTGGAAAATTCTGAATTTGTCTAATTTGCCATTCCTAGTTTGTCCTCTAACAAAAGTTCCATATATCTTTTCTTATAAACCAAAAAGTTCTCACCAGTCATTGGAACTTGAATATTTAAGGTAAACGGCAGTAGTCTGAATCTTTCATTTCAAAGTGTTTTGGGGATATCTTCAGTTATTAGTATTGCTTAGTGGCTCTAGATTTTGAGGCTCAGAATTCACTTATGTGAAGAGCTGCTAGAGACCCACTGGAATCTTGGGAGTGGGATCCAGGTATGAACGCTTTATTTTAAGGTCCCTAGATGATTCCAATGTGTAAATGAGGTTGAGGGCCATTGCCCACTAGACCACATTTAGAAGTACTGGAAATGCAGTCCTGTAAGACACATGCTCACTAGTTCTCCTCCCTTTCTTGGTCCCCTCTCTCCTGTGTCAGGAGACCATTTATTAATTCACTCACTCACTCATTCATTCATTCACTCAATAGTTACTTATTAGTCATCTGCTATGTACTAATTTGGGACTAGGAATTAGAAATTCAAAAGTCTTGTCCTTGTGGAAATAGCAGTACTACAAACAAAATGATAATTAAAAAAAGGTTTTAGGTATTAAAAATGTAGCTATTAAAGAAGGCAAAATAGTGTCAGTATGTAGACATAGCCTCTCTAAGAAGGTGCTCTCTGGGTTTGAGGTTGACACCCAAATTCTAAGACAGAAGGGGTTACAGGAAGATCTGGGGTAGGAAAATCTTAAACAGTAAGAATAATAAGTGCAAATGTCTCCAAATAGGAATGAGCCGTGTATATTCAAAGGACAGACAGAAAGGTCAGGGTGGCTAGAGCAAAGGGAATGAGTGAGGAGTAAAGCACAGAAGGAAATGACCTCCTGTGATAGCTGAGAACCAGACTGCATAGGACCTTACAGACCACAGAAAAGAAAGCAGAAGAGATAAGGTCTTAGATAACTTTAACAGTGGGAAGATATCTACATGAAAGACCATGTCAGTCACATGAACCATAGCCTGCATTCTAATGCAATGGTTTTCAGTTACATTTTACTTGAGTTTTTGGAATGGGAGGAGCAGAGTTGGTACTGTTCTTGGGGACACATGAGAATTGCCTGGAAGAGGAGTTCTTTCTAGTTGTATGGCACACATCATTCGTCTTCCCCATAGATGTGATTTTTTTGCACTGCCCTAGTGGTGGGACCCCTGTCCATGGTGAGCAACTACTCACAGGAATGGGATTTATCTAGCAGCATCCAAAACCAACCATATTCATGCTTAGGATTTTCATTCACCCTAAAGTGCCGTTCAATTCATTCACTCTAAACTTTAGACACCAGTGCTCTCTGAAGCTCTCTACCAGGAGGTCCCACAGCACCTCAAACAAAACACGACAAAAACTCAACTCATCTTTATCCATAAAATGACTGCTTTCTCCTATAATCTTTTATGTCAGTTGGTATCAATATGAGTCCAACTTGCCACATAGCAAATGTTCACAAAATAACTGTCACATGAATAAATGAGTCAGTTTCCAGAACCAAGAGAGGAGACTAAGATAGGAAGAAGGAAGGTTGGAGAGCGTGTGTCTTACAGGACTGCATTTGCAGTGCTCCCAAATCTAGTCCACTGGGCATTGAACCTCAACCTCGGCAGTACATTGGAATCACCTAGGGATGTTAAAATAAATACTGATGCCTGGGTTCCACTCCCAAAGATTCCTGTGTAATTTGTTGGGGTACAGCCAAGGCATCACAATTTTTCAGAGCTTTCCAGGTGATTATCATGTGCATCCCAGCTGAGACCCACTTATTAGTTGTTACTAAACCTGAAGTAATCTTTCCTGGGCTTCTTGCATCTTCTTTCTTAATTGAATTCGGTGATACTCTAAACCTAGAGCTACCAAACAATGTTGGTCTCTAAAGATAGCCCTAAAATACTTGGTCTAAAGAAAGATCCACTTTGGGAGGCCGAGGCGGGTGGATCACAAGGTCAAGAGATCGAGACCATCTTGGTCAATGTGGTGAAACCCTGTATCTATTAAAAATACAAAAAATTAGCTGGGCATGGTGGCACGTGCCTGTAATCCCAGCTACTCAGGAGGCTGAGGCAGGAGAATTGCCTGAACCCAGGAGGCGGAGGTTGCAGTGAGCCGAGATTGTGCCATTGCACTCCAGCCTGGGTAACAAGAGCGAAACTCTGTCTCAAAAAAAAAAAAAAAAAAAAAAAAAAAGAGAGATCCAGATTGTTGATATTATCTTAAGTATCAAATTCCAATTGACTGATGGGAGCACTTTGATTTATAAGGAAAGGCACATGGGGCTTAGGAGACAAACTAGCATGGTATATGAGCTCTCCCTTACTGCCTCTCCCTCACAACCTTGTAAATTTTCAAAGAAGTCTCCCCACTAGATTTAGTCTTAGAATAGGACCATAGTTCATTTTTATTAAATTAATCAAATTCACCAAGTACTTTCTCATTTGCTGTCATTACTGTGATTTTTATCTTATCAGGCTGCAAATGTCCTATAAGCGCAAACCAATACTGCTTTTATATCTGTTAAAGGAAGGATCAAAACTACTACACCATGCCTGCAAAGCACCTGCAGGCCTTGGTATCACATAGGCTGGCGTTCAGATCTCAGCTGTGTCGTAAGTTTAACTGGACTGGAGCAAATCACTTAATCTCTGCTTATCTGTAAAATAAGCACAATGATAGTCCCTATCACAGAGATTTAATGAAAATGAAATGACAAATATCCTCATTTTCTATTGAGACATAAAAATCACCCCAACATTTAGTGGTTTAAAACCACTGACTATTATCTTGTATAGCTCTGGTAGTTGATAGACTCTGCTAGGTAGTTCTCCCTTAGAGTCCTTTACATGGTTGCAGAAAGTTGGCATCTAAGCCTGAATCATCTGATGGCTTCCTCACTCATATGTCTGATGCCTGGGCTAGGATGGGTAGAATACTGATGGTGTCCAGCTAGGTCTCTCTATTCTCTTGTGGCTACCTTGGGCTTCTGACAGCATGGTGGGCTCAAGGTTGCTGACTTCTGATATGGCAGCTGGCTTTTCTTTGAATGAGTGTTACAAAAGAGAGGAAGTAGAAGCTCCTGGTCTACTAAGCCCTGGAAACAGTCACAGCATCACTTCCTCTGTATCCTTGGACTCACTGCTGTTATAGTGCTCAACTGGCTCCAAGGGGAAAGGTCAGAGACTCACCTCTCAATGGCAGAAGTGTTGACAAATTTCTGGCCATGTTTTGTCCATCACAATGTATAAAGCATATGTTACAATGTCTGGCACATCTTAAGTTATAGTATTTTTTTATTGCATTTTAGGTTTTGGGGTACATGTGCAGAACCTGTAAGACATTTGCATAGGTACACACATGGCAGTGTGTTTTGCTGCCTTCCTCCCCTTCACCCACATTTGGCATTTCTCCCCAGGCTATCCCTCCCCAGCTCCCCCCACCAGCTGTCCCTCCCCTCTTCCCCCCAATAGACCCCAGTGTTTGGTACTCCCTTCCTTGTGTCCATGTGTTCCCATTTTTCATCACCCACCTATGAGTGAGAATATGCAGTATTTCATTTTCTGTTCTTGTGTCAGTTTGCTGAGAATAATGTTCTCCAGATTCATCCATGTCCCTACAAATGACACAAACTCATCATTTTTGATTGCTGCATAATATTCCATGGTGTATATGTGCCACATTTTCCCAATCCAGTCTATCATCAAGTTATAGTATTTCAAATGGAACCTATTATAATAGTAACTAAATATTATCCTTATCACCTTATAGTAATGTCCCTTAATATTTTTATAAACATAATGGAATATAGTATCAGCAGTTGTAGGGAGGAGGGGACAGGAAAGAGTGATGATTATAATCGTGGAAAAGAAACATTTACCTTCTTGTCTGAGGTATTGAGTCACCCTCTATTTGTTGGGCACCATGGGACTGTAGGGAATTGCTGTCATAATCCTTCCAATGCAATCATTGTGAGGTCACATAGAAGAAGGGGCAGCCAGGGAGACTCATCTCATTGCTAATGCAGGATATGTGGAGTGCTTTTTTGTAAAAGGTGGCACCATCAACAGGGAACAGGATGTGCCAATGTGACAGTGAGTCACCAAGTGAAATCATGGCTTCTCAGGTTCTGATGCCTGCCAGGCTGGGAGCAATGAGATTGGCCCACTGTCCTGTCCCCTCCATGGAGAGAGGAAAGACATTCAGTCCCAGGACATACATTCAGAGAAAAGAAAACTTGCTGTTTCAACTACTTTCATCATATAAGGATATTGTCCTTTTTAACACTGCCATAAAGGCAGTCCCTTTTAACACTGCCATGAAGAACTGCCTGAGACTGGGTAATTTATAATGGAAAGAGGCTTAATTGACTCCAAGTTCTGCAAGGGTGGGGAAGCCTCAGGAAGTTTACAATAATGGTAGAAGGGGAAGCAAACATGTCTTTCTTCACATGGCAGCGAGAAATAGAAGTGCAGAGGAAAGTGGGGGAAACCCCCTTACAAAATTATCAGATCTCCTGAGAATTCACTATCATGAGAACAGCATGCGGGAACCACCCCCAAAATGTAATCAACTCCCATGAAGGGGCTTCCCCAACACATGGAGATTGAAATTCAAATTACAATTCAAGATGAGATTTGGGTAGAGACACAGAGCCAAACCATATCAAGTATTATACTGGGTTTTATTTAGGCCAAAGATGATCCATAATTTTTATTGAAATGTATTTTGAGAAAAAAATCAAAATGAGACAAGCCAAGCAAGTAATATATTAGACTTAAAAATAATTCAATGTAATGACCAAGTTAGGTTTTTCCCAAGTATGTAAGGTTAATAGACATTAGATAATCTAATTGATGTAATTCACCACATTGATATATTGTAATAATCTCTAAAGGTGGCCTTTGGCATCACATCCCTATGAAGTTCCTTCCTCACTGAATATGGGCTGGTCTGTGACTTCTGTAACAATTGAACATAGCAGAAGATATGCTGTGCCTATTTCAGAAACATGCCTCAAGAAGACTTGGCAGTCCTGGCTTTTGCACTTTGGGATCCCTTAGCCACTATGTAAGAAGTTCACCTATCAAGCTGGGAAGACCTTGTAGAGACCACATAGAGAAAAAGAGGCGAGGCTACATGGGAAGGACAGCTTCAGTCATTTCATTATGCCAGCTATATTGAGACTTCCAGCCACCCCTACCAAGGCACCAGATACGTAATAAGCCATCTTGGACAGTACCACATCCAAATCAAACTTCCAGATGTTTGCAGCCCCAGACATTGTCTCACTGCAATGGCAAGAGAACACCAAAAGCTAAAGGACCATCTTGCTGAACCCTTTGACTCACAGATTTGTGAAAGGTAGTAAAAATGGTAGTTATTTCAATCCACTCACTGCTTGCATAGTTTCTTGTAAAACAATAGATAACCATAACATATTAAAAGAAAATATGTATAAGGTTATCTTTAAGCTTACAGAGAACCCATTTGGAAAAAAATCTACATTTATTCATAATTTTTAAAAATTCTGAAGCAAAACTTGAGATCAGAGAGTTAATTTTTTTAATCTTATAAAAGGGAGCTACAAAATATCCACAACAACAATTATACTTGATAGCAAATCCTCATTCTGAGATCAAGATAATGACAAAAATGTCCGCTATTACCACTTTTTTATCAGAATTATACTGTAGGTTCCAGTCAATGCAGTGAGGCAAAGAAAAGAAAAAGCATAAGGATTAGAAAGGAAAAACCAGAAATGTCGTTTTAAAATGATATGAACTTTATATGTATGAAATCCCAAAGAAACTTCAGATACATTATTTTAACTAAGAGATAAAATTTGGATAGAAAATCAATGCACAAAAATCAATTATAGTACTATGTACTAGAAACCAGAAAGTAAACAATTAAAAAGACAGCATTCATAATAGCATTAAAAATATGTAAGAATAAGTCTAACAAAAGAGTTACAAGAGTTGAGTAAAATTATAAAATGTTATTAATAGATATTAAAGAATATCTAGGTAAATGATCATAGATTGGGAGCCTCAATAATGTAAATATATAAACTGTCCTCTGTTGCAATCACAATGAAATTCAACAAGCTGATTCTAAAATGTATATGGAGTTTCAAAGGGTAAGTAAGATACAAGAACAACAAGGGTACATTCTCTACCAGATATCAAGAGTGACTATTAAGTTAGAATTAACTGGAGTCAGAGATAGGCCAAAATACCAGTGGAACAATGCAAGGTCAGAAACCTGTGTATAGGTATTTGCTGTATGACAGCAGTTACTTGGCAGTTTGGTAGAGAAAGAACAGACTTTAATAATACTGCCAGGAAAATTGAATATTCATAAAAAAAAATCACAGATCAATTTTACACAATATACAAAAATTGTTTTCACACAATTTTATTTCTCAAAAGATGAGAAAAAATCACACATTTCACACAATATACAAAATAATCCAACGAGTTTATGATTTTTAATAGAAGAGGATAAACTATAGAACTTAGAAAATAATATAGAGAAACATTTTCATGAGTGAAAGGTAGTAAAGAATGTCTTAAAACACAAAAAGTGTTGGCTCTAAGGAAAAGGTTATAGATTTTACTACATTTTTTTAAACTGTTCGTCAGAGAGATACTGTTAAAAGATTGAAAAGATGAGCCATCGATTGGGAGAAGATATTTGAAACCTGCATAACCAACAAAGGGCCCCTTTCCAGAAGATATGAAGAACTCTTCTAAATCACAAGAAGGACAACACAATAGAAAAATGTCTGCAAATGACTCCAGTCTCTTTACAAAAGAGGAAATTCAAATGACCAATAAATGCTCTCATGAAAATGTGCTCAATGTCGCTGTGAATCTGAAATATGTAAGTTAAAACAAAATTAAATACTCTTGCTCATCTACCAGTTGACAAACCACTTTAAATTGAAAATACCAAATGTTGAGAGAATGTAAAATACTGTGAACCCTCATACATGACTGGTGTAAATGGTACTTTTTTTTTTTTTTATTGTCCTCTCAAGCTGAAGACAACTTATCCTAAATGACTTCAGTCTTGGGGGCATACTTTAGAAAAACGGGTACACACATGCCCCAGGATTATTGCAGCCTGTAATCATGCAAATCTGAGATACCCATCCTGCATAAAATGGAAAAATTATGGCATATTCATACAATAGTATGCTATGCAATAATGAAAATGAATAAACCACATAAATAAGCTTAACAAACACATATTGAGCCAAAGAAGCCAGACACAAAAATATGAATTCATATACATAAAAGTTCAAAAACGAACATTTTGGGGGATTCATTTTAAGAGGTAAAATTAAAAAGGAAACAAGGAAATCACAATAGTAGTCCCTCCAGAAGATATTGGGATTTATTTTTATAATTGTTTCACCTAACTATAAAAATGTATGTATGTGTACCTTCCTGAGTGTTATATTTTATAGTAAATGAAGCAAAAATACTATAAAATCAAGGATGTGTGCACAAAGATTTAGTTATGAAGTATTAACTATAACCATGTTTATTATAGGGAGAAACCCCAAACTTTGAGTCACAGCTTTGGATTATGTAAAAGAATGGATCAAATACATCACCACACACAAAAGAGAGTTTACTCACCCTGTAGAAATTATATTAGAGAAGAATATCTCATGGCTTCCAAAGATAATTGAGATGTATATTTAAATGGGAGACGATGTTTATCATACATTATGCACGGATATTTCAATGTTTTAAAATAAACTTTGAATGCTAATACACAGAAAAAGATTGAGAGAAACACATTAAAATGTTAACTAAGATTTTATTTGGTTGGTGACTTTATGAGCAAGTTTTGTTTTCTTTGTTTTACTCATTAGTATAGTTTTAATTTTAAGCAATGAATATGGATTACTTTTGAAGGAAATAAAAGGAGACAATATTCTATCGGGAAACAATAATGAAAAAAGAGCCCAGAGATCTCAAAATGGAAATAAGAAATGTGGTATCTGTTAATATGTATATTTGGAAAACACCTGGAATCCTACCAGCTCCGATGAGCCCATTTGAATATAACTTTTCCCAACCAGTGGCCACCCACCTGGTTCCCCTTTCTCAGCATGCATAGCTCTGATAGTGAAATCAAATACTGGCTGTCTTCTTTGGAAGTAAGTAGGGCAGTGGGGTGGGGGAATGTGACGGGATCCTCTGAGAACAGTCTGCTCCTAATTGAAAGGAAGTGAAAATCCTCCACATGTTGCAGGGAGAGCTGATAGATCATCCCCCAGTTCTCCTCCATCTGTTCTGCTGCCTCTTATAGAAACCAAGACAGGAAAAATAATATGTACTTAACACAGGAAATGAGGGTAGTCATTTGAATGATAGAGTACCAGAACCCCTTAAAATGTTTTGGGTGGAGTGGGCAGTGAAACAAAAGGCACCAACCACAGTGCTCAGATCTGATTTCAAACCGGGAAAATGTAGGTACCTGAAGACACCAAACAATGGTGAGCAGAGAGGACTCCACAGTCAGCACACACACATTCCCAACGGCCAGGTGGATTCAACCGCTGTATACCTGTTAGCCCGTTAGGGTGGAATTTCCCAAATTCCCACAGCTGAGCTGTGGTACCTTGGTTTTCCCCATGCTATCAATCCCCTCAGCCATAGAGGCAATGGTCTCATCTCTGGGCCAGCAATTCTGACAGCAAGCACTTCATAAATTAGTAAATTAGAGGAATTCACAGAATATTTTTATGGCAAGTAAAGAAAGTAAGAAAACATTAAGTGGAAAAAAAATGTTAATAGCCATTAGCATGCAACTACTATGATTTTTGTTATCCTTTTCCATGTGTGTCATGACATATAAAGAACTGGGAAGCATTAGAACTACCATAGGTCATCCTCTCATTAAATAAAGTCCAAACAAAAGGAAGGGCCGGGGGTGGGAGTTGGAGAGGGGCTTTTAAGTCAAGGTACTATTTTTCAATGGAAGGCCAGTTACTGTTAGTAGGTGTGCTATAAACTAAAGAGGGCTCAGATGAATTTGGGGAAAACCAAGTTTTCTTAAAAAGGTATACATCATTTTAGGAATTCCTAGGGCCTTTAACTGACAAAAATATATTGCAACTGTCCAGAAGTAAAACAGCATAGAGTTATTAGGCAAAAGCTTTTTGACACACAATATCATCTGAGGAATATGTTTTGCAACTTGCTACAGTAATCTTTCTCTCATGGCTAAACCCACACTTCACTGAATGTGTGATGTAGAATGGGTTCTGATCCTCTCCCACCTGATGATATGGCTGTCCCCACACTGGCTTTTTAATTTTTTATTTACAGCAAGTGATCCGCCTGATAAAGCTGAAACTCCTAATGGGCTAATAAAACTCCTCAGGGGCTTTCATCCACCTGAGTCCAAAGCCTGTGCAAAATGACTTCCTGGAACTCAGGGGCAGTCAGTCTGTTGCTGGAGCAGTTAGCACTTTGCCAGAAAGAGTTTGTCTTTGTTTTCAGTGTATTTTTCTTTTCTCAGAAGAAAGAAAACAAACAGTCTCGAGTAAATGAATAGAGGAACATGCAGAATTCTCTTTAAAAGGGCATCTCCATGACTTTGTCAAATAAATGAAGATAGAATTTAGACCTGTACATTCACTTTACACATTACTGTGATTCCTTGTTACTCTGCTGATCTTCTTTGAAAATAATGAATATAAATATTCCGTCAGAGGGGTTTATGTTAATGAAATCCAGTTAAGTTGTAATAAGAACTAAATTGATTAAGAACATAGGGCTAAGAATCACGTATCTTCTTTATCTCACTTTTTCTAAGCTTCCAGGTAGCCCTTTATTTGCAGTAATGGAAACTCCATCCATCTGAGCAGAATTCACATGAAGTCTGCATGCCAAAAGAAATAGAATTTTGCATTTATTTTCTGTTTCTACTTCCACTTGGAAAGTATCTTTTTTCCCCAAGAAACACATTTAAAAGGATATAAAAGGGGCTCTCTGTTTTTAGCCAGAACCAGAAAAGGAAAGACAATGGAGAAAAAATATTAGCTCAGCTTTTCCAGACTTGAAATAATGTGTGATTTTTGCAGTTTCTCCAACTTTTGAGACCAGGTCTGGTAGAAAGCTTAATTCTTTCAGCTGGCCAATCACCTTTCCTGTGTGGGGATATTAATACCAAGTTAAAATTTCTCCATGTGAATAAGGACAAAAGCATTTGAGTACAGCAGAGCTGGGACTAGACTGATAAATAAAATCATTCTGTCCCTACCCCATTAATTCTCCCTTTCACCATTTGGAGGTTCTGTGGGCTGAAGCAGTACATCATTTAAATAGTACCTTCAGGTATTTCAGAGACCTAATTAAAATTGATGTTGTCATCTGGTGTTTCCTTGTGCAATTTGTCTAGCTCCATGCAAATGGAAAAACAGAGCTCTTCATTAGGGCTTTGTCCTTCTTCGAGAAACTACCCAAGATTTTCTTCAGGTGCTCCACAAAACAATTTGGCTAATTGGGAAAAAAAAATACTTGAGAGTCACCAAGTTCTCTGATTTCCCTGGCAAGATATCCAAGTGGTCCCTTTGAATGGATCTGCTATGACAGGTAAGTCTGTATCCCTCAAGACTTTCCATTTCATAATTGAATTTTTTTAAAAAATCTTTCTTATGATTATTTATTCTCACAAAAGATATATATCAGTTTCATACTATGAACCTTGGAAATAAGGCCATGTTTAGGCAACAAGACCCCATCCTCTGATGGAGCTCAGACTAGAAGGAAGACATACATTAACTATTAATTAAGAAGACTATTAATTAAAAGACAATTAACAATGACATGTAATGAAGGCATCAGGAAGATGAAACTGGCACTGTGTATTGAATATAGGGGTCAGAAAACCACCTCCCTGAAGAAAGGAAATTAAGACACCTCAGAAGGATACTGAGTGGAGATGGGGCTGGAGAGCGTACCATGCTTTCCAGGTATGTGCTATAGATCATCGGAATAACAGAGCTAGACATTTGCTTTCTGTCTTTCATGCTTTCATTCAAGTTTTGCCTCTAGATTTACATAAACTGAAGACAAGTCTCCCCTCACAGAAGACTATTAATGTTTGTAGCTATGGTTCCTTCGTGTTTCTTTAGAAAACAATGATTTAAAAATTAAAGCTACCATTTATTAAATGTTCACATTGTGTCAAGCCCATTGAAATGAAAACAAACGTTTTCATTTTATCAGCTTTTGAGAAAAACTGGAGTTCAGAAGTTTTACTGATTTAGGCAATGGCTGAGCTAGGAATCAAGGCCAGATCTGAGACATTCGAGTGTCTGATTTTAACTACTTTACTGGGGTTTTCTTCATGTTTGCATCTATAAATCACTTCATCAAAATGATGCGGGGGGGGGGGGGAAGGGGGGGGATTGTTTGTGAAACAGTTCTGGCTGGGCCCTCAGTGGCTCACACCTGTAATCCCAGCACTTTGGGAGGCCCAGGCAGGTGGATCACAAGGCCAGGAGTTAGAGATCAGCCTGATCAACATAGCAAAACCCCATCTCTGTTAAAAATACAAAAATGAGCCAGGTGTGGTGGTTTGCGCCTGTAATCCCAACTGCTCAGGAGACTGAGGCAGGATAATTGCTTGAACCTGGGAGGCGGAGGTTGCAGGGATCCAAGATCGTGCCATTGCACTCCAGTCTGGGTGACAGAGAGAAACTCCATATCAAAAAAAAAAAGGCAGAGTTCCAGGCCCCCCTCTGCAGCTGGTTTGAGTCTGAATCTCTGAGGATGTGGTCTGGAAATTTGCATTTCAACAAGTTCCCCAGGTGCTTCCCATGCATTTAAGAATCCGCGAACTCTGTCACATGTCTATGCACTTGTAAGACGGGGGTGTGGGAGAGGCAAACAGATCCCTGCTAGGGCAGTTTACTGTACTCTCGTCCATGTTCTTGGATTGCTCTCTTTGCCATTTGATCGAAATACTACAATGCAGAATGGTTATGATTTTCCAACTGCAAATAGTTTAACCTCACATTTTGGCAAGATATCTAGGCAGGGCTCACAGAAGAGTTGCTTATTCAGGCTTCAGCCAAGCTGTGAAAAGTGAGGCCTTTACAGAGGAAGTGAGATAAGACAAAAACTTAAAAAAACAAACATTCTGAGGCCGTGTTTAAAAGGCCACCAGCAAAATCTATAGCCTAACTAGAAGTGAGCTAAACAAACACATTACTGGATCATCCAGGAAACATGAAGCAGATGCCTGAAAGTGGGATGTGTGTTTTCAACCTGGGTAGAACTATCCCAGAGAGTTATGATATGGAATGAGACTCAAAGTTCAGATCAAAACAAGGGAGATTTGCAAAGGGCAGTGCACCCAGGACAGACAGGAGATGTTCTAGTCAAGTGGTCAGAGCAAGTTCAGGATAGAAGGGAGACCTGTGTCCAATCTCACTTAAAGTTACATGCCTTCACTTACTCCTCCTCGTGGAATTATCTCATGGCCGCTATTTTAAAAAGGAATGGCAGTGGAAACCTAGTGGTTAGGGCCAAAGCTGCAGAGCTTTTGAATAGCAAAAAAATTGCTGCGCTGCCTACTCTTTCCTGTTACATAATATAAGATAAAAATAATACCGATTCAGCAACATTCTAAGTTTTCCTCTGAGACTCACTCAATGCTTTTTAGACATGCAAAATATCAATTTCTTGAAAAAAAAAAAAAAAAGGATGTTGTATGCTTTGCTATGCCCTCAACACAAGCTTAATTCTGTGAGATAGTGTTCAGTAAAGTGCTCAGCAAACTCCCAGGCACAGAGGAGGCACTCATGCAGTGCTAATTATTATTTTTAATAATAGCAATGTATGTTGACAAATTTACTATGGTTTCCTTCCCTTTAAAGGGACACTAAAGCTCCCCTCTGTGGACGCATTTTTGCTAGAGTCTTACTATTTGGCATTGTTGAACCCGGCTCTGCAGTAGTGGAAGTTGCCCTTAACTTCCCATGTAGGCTTCCGTCCTCAAATTCAGATTCCAGTTCTCTGGTAGTTTCCTATAGAGCTCTTTCTTTCCCACATTTTTTTGTTGTGTCATGACATTTAATTACTTATCATTTTTGCTTGCTTTTAATTAAAGAAACACTCTTTGTGCTCATCTGGGAATCATTCACTGAATGCCATCTAAACTCTTGACATTTATTTAGGAACTTGCATTTTCCAGAGTTTTTACAGCACGAATATTTGATAATTAGAGTAATTCAAGCCCCTTTGTAAACAGAAGTTCATATCTCTTCTTTTTAAGATGGTATCAGTCCGGTCAACCTGTAAATTTGTTGTGACTCCATCGCATTGAAATTTCTATTGCTTTTAATTTTTTACTTTGAGGGAGTCTCACTCCGTCACCCAGGCTAGAGTCCAATGGCCTGATCTTGGCTCACTGCGACCTCTACCTCCTGAGTTCAAGCAATTATCCTGCTGCCTCAGCCTTCCGAGTAGCTGGGATTATAGGCGTGCATCAATATGCCTGGCAAATTTTATGGTGGTTTTTTTTTTTTTTCCCCAGAGATTGGGTTTCACCACGTTGGCCAGGCTGGTCTCAAATTCCTGACTTCAAGCAACCCACTTGCCTCAGCCTCCCAAAGTGCTGGAATACAGGTGTTAGCCACCACACCTGGCTTCTGAATTATTGATTCATGTTATCAGTAATA